TACGTGTGGTATATTGTGTATGTAAATAAATTTGCAAAAAAGCGCCACTTAGAAGACCATCATCATTGTTTCTTCGTTTTTATCTCTTTTATAAACGAAATCAATTTTAAGTACAACGGATATCGCAATCTGGGAAGTTGCCAAACGCTTTAGGCAAAAAAAATTCATTACGTTTTTTTTTTTTTAGAAAGACCATTAAATAACTACACTGTAAAGTAGAAAGAAAAAAAAAAAGAAAAAGTGAAGCGAAATATTCTGAGATTAATCGGATGTTACTTTTAATTAATCGTTTAAATTAATTTAAATTAATTCCCTCAACGAAGAGTCGAGTATTTTCCTTTACTCGAATTGTTACATCTTTTTTGTTTGTTTTTCTTTCTTCTTTTCTTTTAGAATTTATTAGAAATATATATTAAAATAAACAAATAATTGCTATTAATTCTCACGTTCCACATAATTTCGTATATAATTGAACGGCAATTAAAATTTTGCTTTTATAAAAAAAAAAAAGTTTAAAAAATAAATAAGAAAAACAAACGAAAATCAAGACTAATGAAGGCAATAAAAGTCTGAAAATTATACTAATTAAAATTCAAAACAAATCCATATACATATGTATATCGATGCCAAATTTGTAACAATTTAAATAATAAGCCTTAGGTCTTTCCGAACCATTGAACACCAAACACAAATTGAAACAAGAGAAATCGCCATACTTTTTATTAACCACTTGTTGACATAATATTACTTTTCTCATTTTGTTATTACGCTCATACAAGTTTATAAACATATATATATCTGGCGTATGAACTCAAGCGTAACTAAAGGTGCGTCCGATCAAATTTTTTTTTTTTTTTTTTTTTTGCATAAGAGAGAGAGACCAATGACCGTAGTATTACAACATAAATACACCCTCTTGGGTTAGCCAGCAGACTGATAGATGCTCAACACTTGAAATCAATATTTCGTTTGCAGTACGATTTTAGTAGACTTCTCATCTCTCCTTCTTTTCTTTTATAGATTAACAATCTAAGAGGACTATAGTATGTCGGTGCTATACTCAATACTTTTGATAATGTTGGGATCCACCTTAACAGTGGCTCAGCGGCGTTTGGCTTTACCGGATCCACGGAGTTGTGCCAATCGTAAGCACATTTTACTTTTTTTTTTACTATTCAATTTTTATTTCCTATAACGATTCCATATCGGTTGGGTAATGCATTTCCTATATATATATATATGTATATATATATTATTTTTATTATGTTATTAACATTATTGAAAACCGTTATATTTAAGGTGTTCGCCATGCTACTTATCGGGACGCTCGTGGTGTTGCTCATTCATATTTTTTTAGTTGGGAACATGCCCCCACCCGTAGCTTGGAAGTCGATTGGCTAGATTCTCGTAATATTTGTCGACGTCATTGCATGGATGCTGTTTCATTGGAGACACCTCAAGAGAACGAATTTGTTAAGCAACGTATAGCTCGCGGCAATGTCCGTTATATCTGGACTTCGGGGCGTAAATGCAATTTTGCCGGCTGTGACCGTCCAGATCTACAGCCGCCCAATGAAAATGGCTGGTTCTGGTCGGGTTCGGGCGCGAAAATAGGGCCCACATCTTCTCGCAATACTGGTGATTGGTCTCACACTGGCGGTTACAATCAGCCCCAGCCGGATAATCGCGAAGCCGCCCAGGGCAACGACGAATCTTGCCTTTCCATCTTAAATAATTTCTATAACGACGGAATTAAATGGCACGACGTGGCCTGTCATCATATCAAACCTTTTGTTTGCGAAGACTCCGATGAGTTATTGAACTTTGTACGCTCTCGTAATCCCGGTCTACGTTTGTAAAGAATATATCCTTTTATGCTTTCACATCTATCATCTCAGTACCTACTTACCACCCATCATTCTTGTTTTGTTTATAAAAAAGGATTGTTGTTTTTTTTTTTAATTTTTCTCTAAATTATGCGAAAACGTTTAAAAGCACGCGCTTATTAGAAATTTTCTTTAAGTTTAATTTTAAATAACAAAAAAATGTAAATTATGTAATAATTGAATTAAAGAAAAAATATTTGTTATAATATATCTCTCTCTCATCTTGAATTTGTTATTGGAAAAATTATTATTTATAGATTTTATAAAAATGTTTTATATAAAAAAAAGGAAAAGAGATCTTTTTGTTTTATCCGTTTATCCGAAGCAAAAAAAAAAAATGATCAGTTTTGTGCATTTATACTTTAATAAATTGATTCTTTTAAAGAAAAAAACAAATCAGCAGAAAAATTTGTGTATCATTGCTTGCAAGAATTTTTGGAAACTTAAAGTCTTTAGGTGTAAAAAGCAGAGAAAACCAATCGCATGGAATTACAGAGATGAAAGTAACCGTAAAAAGCACTAAAAACCGTATATCAACCGCGTGTTGGAAAGAGCAGCTTCGCTTGATAATCACACGTGAGCAAAGCGTTTCTGGAGAGTTGATAAACTCTTTTAGCTAAATTTCGGAATAAACTGGCTTGCAGAATGTGTTACCAAATTTTAAAACGCATCTACCTATAAACGATATTGTTATTAGAAGAATTATTTTCAAAGCTTGCAATTATCGATTAAAATCCTCAAATCAGATCATCATTAAATTACCGCTAATATTGTCGTGGTTATATTTGAGCGCCGATAAAGGCGATCGCAACATCTATGAACCTACCTGCAGTTTGGAAAGAAAAATTTACATTTAACATTAAATGCTTTCATTGTCTTATGTCTGAAGACCATTTCAGCCGAGAATTTTTGAAAAAAACTTTTAATCACTGGAAGAAGAAGAAGAATTTCTGCTAATGGGAAAGTAATATTTGTCAGAAAATCGTATGTAATACTTATGGTGTGCCACACTTTTACTTATTATTTTTTAATCAAGAAAACTCAATGCAATGCCTTTGAAGAAATAATGAATAATATATAGATGCAAAATAGTTTTTATAACATTTATTATCTACTCGATTACGTTGACATTATTCTACCGCTATGTGTGTTGCAATTCTATAAATTACATTTTCTTTTTTAAATCTATAAATTATGAATAGACGACAGAGAAAACACGTTTGTAATAATGTTTCACGTGAACATGTATAATAAATTCAATACTTTGGTAATATATTTAAATACAAAAAGGAATATCAGTGGCGTTTTAACAAAGGCGTAATTTCAATTTTTTTAGTTTTTTTTTTTTTTTTTTTTTTTTTTTTAAATTAAATTACTTTGAACAAAAAGACAGTTGTTAAGAGTCCAAGCTTAGGAGAATAATGCTTAAACTATATATAAATATTTTATCGTTTTTTGTATAAAATTATTTTGATTTTACGTTGGAATTAAAATAAAATATAAAAGTTATATTCTACTTTATGATATTATCAAATATATATATATATATATTTTGTAATAAAAATCTATTTCTAAAAAATTTCATTTTAACCTACTTTGAATTTTGGTTTTATTATTTCGTGATTTGCATTTTTTATTTTTATAATTTTTTCTCAAAACAAAAAAAAAAAAAAAAATAAACAAAACGCAACGTAAAATATTCGTCAACATATATAATGTAAAAATAAATAACAATTGTTAAGAAAAAATAGTAATCTATTACGGGAACGTGAAATTGTATTCAACTCGGTTAGCGCCATCACCATCAGCCAAAAAAAAAAACAAAAATAAATGCACGCAATTTTCCGGCAAGTCATAGAGCCAGTAGTGAATTCGAATAATTCACCACTTAGCAACATTTCTAAAACATTCGAGCAGATTTATCAAGTTTGTTCTTTTCGCCAAAGATTAATATTCTTCTCTTTTTTTTTTTGAATTGAAAATTTTTTCTCCCAAAAATTTACTTATCAGAATCCGAAGATAAACGTTTCATTCATGTGGCGTAAGATTTTTGAATCGACTTGTTCATAAAGAAAGGGTTTTCGTAATATAATAGTAACATGCTTGTAAAAATGTATATAACAATAGAGTATTTGGGGAAGGCAGAGCTAGACGGACCAGAGCATTTGAGTCGAAAAGAATATTAGAGTTGAGATGTCGAGAGTAGTGCCAAAGTAAAATGTAAATAGTTCTACCTTTAATCAAATTGATTGTAAATAAAATAGTCTTGTAGTGAAAACGTGCAAGTGTGTTTCTCTTAAAAAGAATATCCACGATCCAGTGATACGAACTGTATCCGAGAAAAGCGAATTTCGTAACAATATTAAGAAAACAAAATTGCCAGTAATAAATAATGAAACCGTGTCCGCGCGAGATATGCAAACAATCCAGCATCGTACCACAGTTATTCATTCCCACAGGAATACACACATGAACATGACATGAATTCCGGACTCATTTAAATCGGGAGTTAACCACATTATACGTAAAAATGGTCGATGACACGTTCGCAATACATACAAAGCTAAACTCTTCGGTCAAATATTCATTCTTTTCTAATTCGCAATATTCTTTTTCAACTAAACATTTTCAATGCAACATTGGTCCCGCACATTATTGCATATCTTATTGTCGAGTCATTCACTTATGAAAAGTGCTCATATATTACTCTCAGGTAATTGGATACTTTTTTTGAAATTCATTTACGCTTATTCAGTCGATCAATCGTAGCGATGTGTGAAGGGAAGAGAATATATTAGTTTCCTTAAAAACTTACTTACTATTCAAGTCGTTATAAAATAAACGAAAGCATAAGCTTCTGTGTAAAATTGTAGGTAGTAGGTGTGATAATAATTAAATTTTCCGGTATTAATATTATTAAGTTATTAGTT